GGGCTGAATTGAGAGTCTCTGGCGACTGAAGAGAGCCATATTTTTTAAGGGGCCTCCAGTGGCTTTGTGAGCTTGGTGATGGGTTTTGAGCTCAGCCAGGGTGATGAAACGCTTCATCATCCGAACAAATTGTACATCCACCTATGTGACAGAAAGTGTATGGGACAGAAAGACATGTGCAGGTAGATTCTGTCCACTGTGTGCTTTAGCTTCTTATGAGAGGTTCTTATAGGTAGGGCTGCCAGTGTTCTGTTCCTATTCCCAAAGCCAGGGTAACCTCATCTGAGTAAGAACTGGACTCTATACCTTGACCTAAAGATACCCCACACCTTCTTCCTCCCTCTCTTTGTCCATTCTTTTCCTTTCATGAAATAGCAAAAATAGTAATCTTTACCATGGACCATTTGGGGTTGTCTTCCTTGCTGGATGGGTCATAATGGGGATTGTTTTTCTCAAACTGTGTGTGGTCTGGGTAAGCCTCCTTCACAATCTGAAAACAAAACCAAGTCTCCAATCATTTGCCTGTACAGTCAGCTCCATGGCCATTTAAAAAAAAAAAAAAAAATTTAACGTTTATTTATTTTTGAGAGAGAGCATGAGTAGGGAGGGGCAGAGTGAGAGGGAGGCACAGAATCCGAAGCAGGCTCTAGGCTCTGACCTATCAGCACAGAGCCCGATGTGGGGCTCAAACCCATGAACCAACCGTGAGATCATGACCTGAGCCAAAGTCGGATGCTTAACTGACTAAGCCACCCAAGCGCCCCTCCAGGGCCAATTTTTAATTCTAGTCTGACTTTCACTTCTGACCCTGCACATTCTAACCTCTTCGGCTGTGCCGTAGAGCCAATGAAGGTTCAGATATCTGGAAATAATATACAGGCAAGCATAGGAATCAATCTTATTTAATAAAATCTTAAAAGTAATGTTCTAAAACCAAGTATTAAAGGTTATTATTGGTGCCACTGTCTTTCCACCTGCAGTTCATAATTTTATCCTAGTAACTTCTGATCTGGAAGAGCTATCATCAGGCCTGTTTTTGAGTGAAAGACCAAGGCACAGAAATGAGAAGTCTGTACCAGCGGGACCTGAAATGAAGGCCTTGTTATAGTCCTTGTCATACTGAAGAGGCCTGAGTGGTGACATCAGGGATGGGGAGGAGGGTACTTCTTTTTTGTTAACTGATTTAAACTTTGTTCTTTTATATCTACATGAGTAAGTTTCCCTGAAGGGAGAGGGATTAAGACCAATGCCTATACAACTGACCTTCACAAGTCCTGCGATGCCTGGCTCTTTGCAGTTGCTATGGTAGAAGAAAGCTTCTTGCTCCAGCTTCATGGCTCGAAGGAAGTTCCGGGCCTGTCCCAGGGGAGAATAAACAACTACCTTCCTCCTCACCCACTGGAAAACACTAGCTGTTAGTGGAAATCAAGTCTGCTTTCCTTAGATGAGGTTTTCTTTTCTGCAGCTTGCCTTTACTGAAACACCCAGACTTGTATCCAGACCATTTGCAAACTGCATGCAGAGTAATTAAGGTATTTTTGAATACATTTTCTATTTTATTATCTGGGCCGTTGGCCAAGAGATTTTGCTACTGAATAAGTCATGGAAGGAGGCAGGCGTTTACTCAACGCCTGGGTCTCAGGCCCTGCTTTTACCCTCTTACCTGGTAGTTGCGAACACCATCCCAGCATGCTGTCTGCTTGGGCTGTGCTTTAAGATCCTCGATGCTGAACTAGGCAACAGGAAATGAACCCATTCATTAAACAATCTTGAAGCCAACTGGAAATAATATGGAAGTAGGTAGTTTCTTCCCCTACACTGAGGGTGCTACTTGCTATAGTGGGAGTATGTAGTTTACTGGGAAGTAGTTCCGCAAAGCCACTTCTGTTGGGCACATGCAAGTAAGCCTTGTAGTAACTTGTTATCCTTGTTAATTAAGAAGATCAGTTGAATGGATAATCCAGATGATAATGTGTTGGTTATTTGTATTTTACTCATTAAGGTACTATATATTTCTTCTATAATATTTTTCTCCAAGCTATTATTAAAATTGGTTTATATTAATTCACTGAATAAATACTAGCTGTTGGCAGAGAAATATGTAGGATTATGGCAGGTGGCAAGAGTAAGGCAACATAAGATTGAAATGTTGCCCAGGTCAGGGTTTGGCAAACTATAGGTTTTAGGCCTAATTTTGTAAATGGTTTTATTAAAACACACCCACACCATTTATTTACATATCGTCCATAGCCACTTTCTTGCAATAGCAGCAGAATTGCAACAGCAATGAGAAGACCTGAAAACCTAAAATATTTATTACGTTGCTAGTAATAAACCTTGCTGATTTTATTCCTTATTTCCTTATTATCTTTCCCTTAACTCTACCCTTCAGAGAAGCTGGTGGACTCTGTGGTGTCCCATATTTATTTCTTATCTAAAAAAACAGCTTGAAGGGATTAAAGACAGGTACCTGGTCTCACCTTCACATCTACACCTTTCTCTAATCGGCTTTCTGCCTCTGACTTCATCAGCCAGTAACTACTTAGATTCTTCCCACAGGTTTTAGAGGCTGAAGTCTTCTGAGGGCTGGAGTTAACCACTTGAGCCGATGCCCCCACTGGATTCTTAGTCTTGGTACGTTTTCCTGCTGGTCCCTTATTGTCTGCAATAGAAACAAACAGCAGAAACTGGTCATGCTGGCTGAGAAGTAATGTTGCATTGTGAGGAAAGCACATGCTTTGGAGTCAGACCTGGATTCAAATCCTGGATCTGTCAATTACTAGCAGTAGCAACTGAATTGCTGAACTTCAGTTTATCTATAAAAATGGGACAGGAATGCCCATTTTCACAGGGTATCTTCTGGATTATCCATTCAGTGGGATAAGAATACCTTACATGGTTGTGGGTCAGGATTGACAGTCCTAGCAGAGTTCTGACTTGTGTTAAGTAATTTTCTTTCTTTACCTCACTCTCTTCTGTGCCCTTGCTGAGGCTATTTCTCTCCAATGAGGAAACCAAACACTTACTCCACAAACTTGTTTTAGAGATTAAGTACAACAGTGGTAACAATGGGTTTAGACAATGCCTGGCATTATAATAAATGCTCAATAAATATGAGCTATTATTATAATTATCATCTCATAGTTCTTTTTTGCTTGCTCACTGTGCTTTGTGGCCTGCTTCCTTTCAGCTCCTTGAAGGTGCCAGAAGAAGCTGGATAAAACAGCTCATTCTGTACTTTGTAGACTTGGCAAAGATGACTTTATTCTAAGAGAATTAGAGAAAATGTTCCTGGAACATATTAGGCACTCAATAGCTTAATATGAGTTGTTAAATCCATACTCTATGACAGACCCTAAGCTCTATTTGTTACCCTAACAGTAACTCAGTTAATCTGTATAATGAGATATTCTGTTCATCTGCTAAATGTGTCCCAGATTACACACTTAGTAAACAATATAATCGGGAACTGTCCCCTGGTCTATCTGGATCCACCCTTAATGACTGTACCACACTGCCTCTGAATTTAGTCCCATCTCTCCTACATCAGCCCTCATTAAGTATCATTTATGGGTGTCTAATACTCAGAACCTCCCTAGCCTAGTTGATCAGGTGGTCCCTTTGGAGGTAAGCACACTGCAAATACCATTATGTGTTGCTAAATAACACAATGTATTGTAGTCAATCTGGAACTTCTGCCATTCCCAAAAGTACTTTAATTGCTTTGTTTCTGCACTTCATCTACTTAGAATGCCATTCATTCTTGTGAATATAAAAATGTCATTGAATTTTCTCTGCCTGAGGAAAGACTTCCCGTTCTTTAAGGCTAGATTCAAGTTCCACTTCCGTTTCTGGCAGTCCTTACTGCCCTCACACCCTTAGCCATCTAGTTTCTTAGACCTTTTCACTCATGTCTGTTTGCATTTTCCATGACAGCAGAACTAGGCTTTTTTTTTTTTTTAATTTTAGTATTTTATTTATTTTTGAGAGAGAGCAGGACCGGGAGCTGGGGAGGGACAGAGAGAGAGGGGAACAGATGATCTGAAGCAGGCTCTGCGCTGACAGCAGCAAGCCCTGTGTGGGGCTCAAGCTCACAAACAGTGAGATCATGACCTGAGCCACTGTCTGACGTTCAACGAACTGAGCCACCCAGCAGAACTGTATGTTATTAACCTTAGTACAAGCCACCCCTTATCTACTATTGCTTTAATGAACAAACAAGAAGCTCTAGGTATAAGCTTGGTGGGAAGAATAAAGAAGATGGAAGTCAATTAGGAATAACGTAACAGAAAATCCACAAAAGGATTCTCCCGACAGACAGGGAGTTGAAAGTGAGCAGTACGAAACAGGTCCTAGAGAAACTAGGGCCGCCTTTTTGCAGCCTAGGTGCAGCTCACCTGGCCCAGCTGGCTCGGCAGACCCAGCCAGCCTCTTCCGGGGTCTCGGCATGCTTCCCCTGCGAGGGCTGAAGTGCAGAGGATTCTGGAATCAACCAAGAGTACAAGAGGCAACTCTGAATCTGCCCCCAGAAACCTGTGCAAAGCAAGATGCAGACAATGAGAGGAAGCGGAGTTTCAGTCCCGAGGGTTTTTTGCGGACCTGGACTTGGGCCCGTCAATTCTTCCCCCAGTTATCTATTCCATCTTGCATAACCTGCCGCTAACGTCTCCTCGGTTCGTAACCTGATCCTTGTCCCATTTATTCACCATTCTCCCGCTACACTGACGCAACCGCACAGCCTACACAACCCCAACCAACCACCCCAGGATGCAGCACCTGGTCACAGAGTCCCAGTCCGGAGCATCAAGTAAGACCCGGCTCTGTTGCGCCGAGACCCCGGCGTCTCTGGGAATTGTAGTCCTGCCTCTGGAGCAGGCCTCCCTGAATCTGGGCTGTGAGGGTCGCTGGATGGACTACAGCTCCCAGGGTGCACTGCGGGCCTGGCTCCTGCAGTAGCGAGCATAACCCGCTTGCAGATTCTGCGTGGAGCAGAGGCTACTATGTTGCGCAGAGGCTGCTGGAGGCTGGGAAGGCCGCTCATCTGCCTGCGTGGTGGTCTGCAGGCCCCCGCCCAGAGCGGCCGCCGGAGCTTGGTCTCCTGCATCGATCGTAAGTCTCTCCTCCGGTGTGCGGGGAGGGAATGCAGTGGTCTGCGCGCCCGTAGAGCGCATTGTCACCCCTGGCTTGTCGTGGGCCGTCACCGGGGTCATCACCCCAAGGCCCACCTGCCCTCTCCCAAGTCGGCTTCCCTAGCTGGCGGGTCACCCCATCCCGTCCACCTGGCTGGCTTCCCTTGGCCGCCCTCACTCTCTGCTGTTTCCATCTGTTGCGCCCCTGGCCCTCGTGTATTACTCTTCCACCCCATCCCCTCCGTGGTCGGGAAGCCAGGCGTCCGAATTTGTGCTCCAGGCCTTCTGCTTAAGCCCTGTCTTTCCTCCTGCCTACTTCACAGGGGCCCTCTAAAGATATATTAAGATAGAAAAATACTTTGTAGTTACAGCTTAATCTTTGCTGCTGATGCTGTTTGTTAATTGTTCAAATCTCCTTAAACGTAGTTGATATTATCGACTTCTCGATACATTTAATACGTTTACTTGTGAAAACAGTAACTAAGGGTTTTACAATTATCCTCACAACTCTGAGGTAGATTCTGTTACGATCCCTGCTTCCTGATAAGGAGTGGATATAGAGAGAGGTACAGAAACTCATGACTTTGTTTCATTTTATTTTGTTTTAATCATAGGTCATTTAAGGGTCATAAAGGTATAGTAAGAATGTAAAAAGCCTGGTGCTGGTTGTGTTAGATGAAGGAATGCTCCTTCCTTATGTGACACAAGATTTGCTCACATAAATTTTATGATGTAACACCTAAAACCTTTTACTATTGAAATTCCTGCAGGGAAAATAATTATTATTGCAAATGGGAAACTATGAGAATTGACAGACCTGAATGTTTTTAAGTACCAAATAATTTGGATGTGAAGAACAGAGAGTGATAGGGGCCTAGGCTGACTAGGGATAGATACTCAGCCACTTTGTGATTCTGTCAAGTACCTAACCACATTTTTTCTTCTGAAAAAAACAAAAACAAAACAAAACAAAAACCTTTCGAATAAATGACACTTCTTCATTGTAGAATAGGTGATGAATCCCTTAGATTACACCCAGATCTATAATATACACTAGTATAGAATACTGTTTTCTTCTCCGTGTCCTAAAACTCCTTCATAAGTTGCTGCCCTGTTCTAGCATTTAGAATTTGGTAAACAAAATTACCCTTGCGGATACCAAGGCAGGTAAGGAGTTGTTCTGGCAACAAATAGATTAAATATTAAATAGGTTAATATTAAATAACAAATAAGTGAAATATGTTGGAGTACTTCCATCAGCTAGTTGTGTAACTTCAACCAATGAGGTACTTTTTCACCTTTAAAAGAAAGTATCTCTCAATCAGTAAAATAAAAGGAAATTGTCCTTTAATGTATCATTCCACATATTAGAATATCAAATTAATGGGAGTGATTAACAAATATTTCTTTGTTTCATTGCATATTTTAATAAGTGAAAAGTGATTAAGACAATTATGATTTGTATTGTATTTTATGTATCATATATTACATATATACTCATTATGTATACTTTCCTCATTCTACAGATGAGGAAATTTACTCAGTAAATAGTGCAGCCCCCTCATTTTACAATGGGATAACTGAAGTTGATTGGGGTTCCTGACTTACCTTATTGTGTAAGAGAAATGCTGTATTAGGTTGACTGTCCCAGCTTTGTGGTTCTTGCTCTTGGCAATATCCTTCCCTGACCCCTGTCCTGGAACTGAGTATATACAATCTTGCCCACAGCTTCCATAGGACTAAATGAAGAGCAGAAGGAATTTCAGAAAGTGGCCTTTGACTTTGCTGCCCAGGAGATGGCTCCACATATGGCAGAGTGGGACCAGAAGGTGGGAGTTCTCCTTATGGCTAGATGTTCCAAAAATGCCTCATATGGTGACCAAGATCTCCTTGTAGTCCTAACTTTTCAGTGTTTATTCTCCTTGCGCAATTCTTACTGCAGATTAGAGTACTGGTAATGGCGTGATTCCTTTCCTAGAAACATCCTCATCATCTTGTAGAGACCTGTTTGTTTTTTTTTTTTTTTTAACTAATTATTTAAAATGTTTATTTATTTTGAGAGAGTGTGTGCAAGTCGGGGAGGGGCACAGAGAGAGGGAGAGAGAGAATCCCAAGCAGGCTCTTTCCTTCAGCTAATATGGAGCTCCATCTCCCCATCATGTGTTCATGACCTGAGCCTAACTCAAGAGTTGGTTGCTTAACTCTCAACAATAGCCAAATTATGGAAAGAGCCTAAATGTCCATCAACTGATGAATGGATAAAGAAATTGTGGTTTATATACACTATGGAATACTACGTGGCAATGAGAAAAAATGAAATATGGCCTTTTGTAGCAACGTGGATGGAACTGGAGAGTGTGATGCTAAGTGAAATAAGCCATACAGAGAAAGACAGATACCATATGGTTTCACTCTTATGTGGATCCTGAGAAACTTGACAGGAACCCATGGGGGAGGGGAAGGAAAAAAAAAGAGGTTAGAGTGGGAGAGAGCCAAAGCATAAGA